GGCGAGGTCCTCATTTCAGGGCACCCGCTTTGTGCAAGCAATCAGGTGGTGAGGCTGTGCTCCATTTGGGTGTTGCTGCTCATGCCACTCGGAGAAGGGTTGCCCTAGCCAAGGGCTTCGTATTTCCCCTGCCAAGTTTGTGTTGGTTTTCCAAAGGGGGAAATCCAACCAAATGGCACCAAACCCCCTTTTCAGGCCCCTGAAAAAAGGAGCTTGTTTCTTCTTTGCACAAAGTCACGCGCCTTTTACTTGCTGACGTGACCTTGACAAATGAAAGAGGTTCCTTAGGGGTGGAGAAACTTATTGAAATGAATCCGTGCCTGAAGCAATCGGTGCCTGAAGCATCCACTGAGCTGAGGGCTCGTCTCATGGCTTGACCGGATGGCCCCATCAAGACCTTTTGGAAGCACATCGAACCAAAGACAGCTATACTCATGAAGACAGCTATACTCGTGGGACTCATGGGGCCTGGGAGGAGGGAGGGGAGGGGGAGGGAGCCCAAATAAGCCCGAAATCAGGCCTTATTCAGGGCTTAAGGGCTCCCTCCCCCCTCCCTCCCTCCCAGCCATGATTTTCCTTTCACTTCGCGGGGCTCGGAGCAACCCTTGAGAGGTTGAGAGGAGTTAGTGACACCCCAAAAGTCCTTGAGGAATGCAGCTAGGTCCCCCAGTAGTGCCCTTCTCTCCCAACTTTTTTGGTTGGGAGGGGTCCCTACTAAAAAAGACGACAGAAAAACATCGGGTACCCTTAGTCTAACCTCTCTACTGGGGGGACCTAGGCAGCACTTCCTTCTTCTTTGACAGGTGGGTTCAATCCTTTTGTCGGCTGAATGATTGATGCTCGCGCATTTGCAGCTGAAGAGGCGGTTTTTACACGGCGAACTCATTGTATTGTGATCTGCTTAAACTTAATCCTGAATCAGGTTCCCTAACGAATCCCTTCCAACGCAGGCCCCAAAACGGACCGTAATAATGAGATCTCTGGATGGAATATGTACCAGGAACATACTACCTTAACAAACAACTAAGGGGGAGCGTATTGTGCAAGGGCTTCCTGCAGGCTTTCACAACGAAACGAGAATCCTCCAGCAAAGCCCCCCTCCCCCCCGCCAGCATGTTTCATGCACACGCACAATCCCCATACACCGCGGAACATGCGCTGCGAGCCACTTACACTCTGTGCAAGCAAGTCGCTCTGTCAAGTTGCTTTGTGCAGAGCAAGCTGCTTGCTCTCTGCAAGTTTCTCCGTACAAGTTGTCCAGTGCAAGATGCTCCAAGTTGCTTTGTGGAAGTTGCTCTCCGCAAGTTGGTCCAAGGGCTCCCCGCGGAAGAACGCTTCGCAATGCTTTTGAGAAAAGCCCTGGCACATTTCCTGGCTTGAGGTTAAATGCTTGGCGTCGTCGCTCAGATGCCTCCGAGGTCTAGATGTGGAAGGCTATGCTCATCATGATCTCTTGTTTTGATCTGCCATTAGTGTAGAAGCAGAGTGTAGCTCATGTTGACCACTCGTTTGCTCTAATCTGGCCTTGCAGTGAAGCTTTTTGGTGGTTCCATGTGGTTTGAGTTGGCCAAACAAGCTGGCGTCCGCAGTTCGCTTTGCTTGGTCGTCTCAGTGTTGGCAGCCGGGAGCCCGCGACTCCTGCTTCCGTGAAAATGTGTACTTTTCAAAGTAGTTTGGCCCTCACTTTCCGGTCTCTGCCCGTGATTTCCGTGAATTCACGCTCGTCCGAGCAATGTGTGGGAATCTGGTGAGGGCTGTCGGACTTCCTCGACGTTTGTCCGAACGCCGCGGGGATGTGGAGTTGACCCGACACGCCATCCAACTTCCTGCTAGAGTCTCTGGACACACGCTGAAACGGGTCACGTGTTTCATCTTGACAGATTCATACATCTTGAAGGCTCTCGCAGTAGTTTGAATTCAATGACTTGGTCAAGACCGGTCCGTGTATTGGATCTTTCCCAAGATTAATTCGACAGGGAGCCTCGGCCGAAGTGATATTGTTTGCGTGTTCGTGTTTGTGCGCAAGAGTCGTGGGCGGGTGGCCCCTAATGATCCTTCAGGGGGCCCCTACAGTAGTCACTCGTAGTCACTAGCTTGCGATGGCTGTTTGTGCCATTGTTTTTCGTGTTTTGTTTTTCGAAACCCACGTTTGATATTTTTTCCAGGTTCGATGGACAAAAAGAAACACTCTTGGATGCACTCGTCATGTTGAGTGGGATGCCGCCTTGCCTCAGGTTCGCCTTCGAGCCGCTGATACGCTGCATGGAGATGAGCGGTCAGATCATCATAAGCACCACCTGCAATGCCGGCCTCGAGGCCGGCCATGCAGAGACATCAGACGGGAAGAACCAAAAGATCTGGGTGGCGTGGACCGTTTTGATGGACGACCGTTGAAATTAGTTACGTTTGGCGCAATCTCTAAGAAACACACACAAAGGCCAATATCCAACAGCAGTTTTGCTAGCCCGTTTTGATGGTGCGCGTGTTTCTTGGACGGTTTGATGGACAGTTTCTGCTTGGCGCGCAATTTCCAAGAAACACAAGCACCAAATGGTCAACAGCGTAGGCCTCGAGCATGCTGGCTGCGGTGGAACTCAGTCGAACAAACATGGAAGCAAGGCAGCGCTGGCGCCAAACCAATAGAAGCATCTACTAGGTCCCCCAGTAGTGCCCTTTTACCAACTTTTTTGGTTGGGAGGGTTTCCCGACTAAAATAGACTACAGAAAAAAATCGGGTACCCTTAGTCTAACCTCTCTACTGGAGGACCTAGTTCTAGCTTTGCCATCCCCATTGCGCTTGGCTGGCTTTCGCCTGTCTCCCCAACGACCATGATTTTGTCCTGGCCGGCCACTGCCGGAAGCTTCACACTTCGGCTTGCCGCTGCTGGCCAAACTGCCCTTTAGATTTTCCATGCAAAAATGCCCGTCCACTAAACAATTGGTAGCTTCAGTGAGTAAGCCCTCTCTCCCAAGTTCCGCCTGCGAAATGTTGAGGACCGGGAGTCGGGAGTTTCCGGTTGGGGACAAAGTCCATAAGTCCACCCAAATGTCCTAAATCACTCAGTTGCCCAAAGCTGACCTTTGACCTTTTGGGTTCTCCTTGTTGGTCCATTTTTAGTCATAGCCGCAAGAGGTTAACATTTTGCTTCTGGGCCCTTTGGGCAACTGAGATTATGATTGAGGTTTGATAGACTAATGGGTTGCCCCCTTCCGATTCTACCGGCAAAACATACCACAACCCTTTCTTGCGACCGATTTGGGGCCTCATGGTGAAGGTTTCTTTCTGTGGGGGGTCCGTTCCCTGTGTCATGGTGGGTTCAAAGAGACAATTCATTGTTTTGGTTGTTGTAGGCATTCCAGGCCACTTCTGTCCTTATGGGGATGGGAATCCCACTGCGGTATCACCGAAGGGATAACTTTCCAGGAAGCTGCTCTATGGTTTGGGGGAAGACGCGTGTTTTCCCCGTATCCAAATGTCTAAGTGCTTGTTTGCACGAAAACATGTTGGTTCTCACAGTAAAGTGTCAAACAAGTTTCCTTGCAACATCAGAATTCACTACTGTAAGTTATCGACCGCGCATGATGGGAACACATACTAGAACTAGCCCACCATGTACAGAATTATATTTGTAGGAAAGGCTCTATGGGTCCTTTTTTTGGAGGGTGTTTTTTTGTTTCCGAGGTGCTACCTCTACAAGAATCGGTCACAGCGTCTGATTGGATGGCAAATGAACCAGCCACGCAAGGAAGTCGCCGGTTCGGTAGGATCTTTTCAGCCTGATGTTGACCCCAGATGAATCAACCTGGCAGTTTGTTTGTTTGTTGTTTCTCCTTTGGGGGTCCACCCAAAACTGAAGGATCGATCTTCTCTTAAACAGGTTGCACCCTTCTTTTTCTTCCAGGGGTTCATCAATCCGTCAAAATTGAGACCATCACCCCCGCTGGTTGAGGGTTATTTTGTGATACAGAAACACCCATGTGCTCGCTTCAGTCCACAGTGCCCTTTTTTTGGGCGCACAGAGCAGTGGATTTGGGCAAGTTCTTCGCGACCCCAAAGCAATGCGGTTCTTTTCAACGAAGCAACTGGTGATTGCCTTCTATTGTGGGGGTACCTCTCAAGGGCTCGCGACCCAAGCCCCAAGGTTTTTTTTCCGTAGGAATCGATTGCCCTGATCATCAGTTGGACTTTTGTTCAGATGGATCGTTTCCGAGCTGTTTGTGGATCGCCATCATGGTTCCTATGGCCTAGTCCACAACTGCGTCTTTCACTCACGTCAGAATCCGCTGAACAGGGAACAATCCTCCTGAGAAACGTGCTCTGGTTGTGATCTCTGCTAGGTTCTGGATGTCTACAGCACCCTTTCCTCGGCAGGTCTGGCGGGAGGAAGGGCTTGGGAGGCCAAGGGCCACAAAGACCAGGGTTGCATTGCGGCTAGAGCACTCAGTTGTTCAGTGCCACCAATGATCTTTCCCTTTTTTTGGTGGCTGCCCCACAAAAAAGGGTCTTCCCCAAAAAGGGTTCCCCTTTTTTTCCAGGGTCACTGAACTGAGAGGTGGGTTTGCCCAACCCCACGGACAACTGACATTGAAGCACCCTTGGCACGCCTATTGCATTGGAGACCACATGGCTTATGCCTGGCATAGTTGGCTTGGTATTCTGAACGTGTGTTCAGCCTCGATTTCTCGTACATGGGAAGACCTCTGGTGCTCTTCTTGCTTTTGGAAGGGGGTCTGCCTTTGAAATCAGCCAAGGATCTAAGAACAGGATGCCTTTATCTCCCTCGCTGCCACGCGGGGTTGGCAAACGTGAGCAGCGTGCACTGAGCGTAAGGGCGGCGTAAGCAGCGTAAGCTAAGCCTCCACATGCCTCGCGCAAGCCAAAACATGCGTTGCGTGAGGTATGCGCAAGCAGCGCAAGAGCACCAGGTGGCTGTGCGACACAGCTTTCCCGAAGGGTTGTGGTGCACAGTCTCATGCAGATTGCAGCTGGGACAGGTCTTGTGCCCCATTCTGCAGTAGTTTTCTGAGTGAGGTTCTGCTCCTTGGCGACATCAAACGGTTTTTGGCCCCAGATCTCCAACAGCTCGGCCCATCTCAAGGCTCCACGCCGTTCAGCCGCAGACATCTCAATTTTTTTTCGCCCGAAGCCGGGTTCCCTAAGTTTCCCCTTTTGATGGGCTCAGTTGTTCAAAGCCGACCTTTTGACCTTTTGGTTTTCCCATGTTGGTCCATATTTAGTCATGGCCCCAAAAGGTTAACCTTTTAATTCCAGGTCCTTTGGGCAACTGAGTGGGCTTAAACATCACCCTCGAACGGCCAATTGAAAGGGAGTCTCCTTGTGGTAGGGGGCATATAGGGAGACGCACAGGAAGCATACAGGGAGCAGACGTGTTTAAAGGATATATATATATATAGTGAGCAATCCCCAAATCCTTCGACGGACACCTGGAGGTTCCGAGTCAGGTTTTTCATTTCGCATTTGGGTCATTTTTGGGGGTAAATCAAGGGGTGTTCCGTTATTCAACCCACAATTGTTTAAACTTGATGCAGAGGGTCAACGGCATTCCAGATTCCAGCTCAGCAAATGCGACATTACGATACAGGGTTTCCCATGAGTCTTTTTTTGAGCGCGCTTTCCCTCGATCCAACTTGGCATGCGGTTTTTCTCAAAATCGGAGCTCAAGGGAGATTATGCGTGTGGTCTCCCTACCCAAACTGAAAAGAGAAGAAAGAACAAAGCCATCCCATGTCAATCGGAAAGGCACAAGCTAGTTGATTTAATGAACCAACCAGTCCCCCTTTTTCCGGCAAGCCCAGAAATGTTTTTGGTGTACGCTACGGCAACAAAAGACAGGGGGAAAAACGCAAAAGGCCCCTGCAGGCATGCTGGTGTATTGGCTCATGCTCCTTGACTTCAGCGTCTTTTCCACCCACATCTCCGCCTTTCTGCTGGTTTGCGCCCATGTACTCTCCGAGGCAAGCGAGCGCCGGCGAAAAAGAGTTTCCTGAAATTCCGAAAGCGGCCCAGTGACTGGACATGACTTCTTGGCCCCAGTGTTTGAAGACAGGATGGAGGGCACCACTGGGTTGACATCGACATGTGTTTTTTCTTTGTTTGTTTTGTTGGCTATGTTTGAAGCGCAAACCCCTGCAACTGGATTCTCACATTCTCGCTTGCAAGCGAATCAGCCTTTGGGTTTTCCGTTTCAATGTGTCCCAAAGGCCGAGCCGAGGGTCTCCTTTTCCCCAAAGCCAACGGCAATGACAAGTGCCTGTAAAAGGGATCTTGTTTAACGTTCCGAGCCTTCTTGCATGTTCAAAACGGGGGCACAAACAGCCTCACGGTCCTCCAGGTTGCCCTGGTGGTTTAAAAGTGAATCCCGGCAAGCAGTGTACTAACACAACATGCACCCTCATGGTTTTCACGGAGCAATGTGTGTTTTCTCAGCACTGCAAAAAAGAGGCAGAGAACAGGGGAACATATAATACAAACCTAAAGTGCGACCATTCGGCAAAAGGCTGCCACAAGCGGTAGGTGTGCTGAGCTAAGATTTGTTGGGCAAAGTCTAGAAGCTCCGTGCCACGACGGGAGCCTTTTGGCTGGTCTTGAACAGGGTACGACCTCCAAATGTGCAGTACCATAGGTGTCCTTTTTATGTTAGTGTGGTCAACAATAGAAGGCGCTGGTTTAGATGGGCTTTATTCCATTTATCAGGGCCATCTATTTTTCCAAAATAACACCTATGTGCAGTACATTCACAGAATATATATATATATGTATATGGTCTGTATTTGTTTTGCTGTGCCCATTCTTTAGCCTACGCGGGAAGTGGGACCTGGGCGAGCCATACCCCCAAATCATACCCCGAACCATACCCCCGATTCATACCCCCGAAAAAATCCAAAAAGGAGTTCAAGAACTGCTGACCTTGCAAGCCTGCGTGAAGGCCTTAGCTAAGAGTATGCAAGTAGGGCCTGTCCTGCGGGCAACGCAATACACTGTCTGTCCCCAAGCAGTGTTCTACTCTAACTGGCGTTTAGGGTAAGAGCTACAGGTTGGCTCACAGTTTGTCACGCGCCAGCTGACAGTTTGTATGGCGACACACGCGTAGTTGCATTTCAAAAGCGCGCGAGCTGCTTGCTGTTTATCCCAAGTGCGCTTTCGCTGCTGCGTCAAGGGTCGGACTTGCGCGCTCGGCTTTGGTATGTGTACTGCCGCTCTGGCGCGGGTCGAACAATGACCAAGAAGGCTTGAAAACTCTGTGACGGACACCTCGCCCCTGCCGCTACGTGGTTGAGAGTTTGACCACTAACCAAACCTTTGCTGACTTTGCGCGGGTTGACACGCTCTGCTTCATAGCTTCACATGGCGCGGGCCTGTTCCAAGTGTAAGGGCGCTGCCTCTTGCAGCAGCCCCGCATGATTGCAAAGCTTTCTTAGCCATGCTCGCTTTGCGTCTTTCCGTTAGCAAAAGTCTTCCCCGCGATTTATACCCCCGATTCATACCCGATTCATACCCCGAGCATCTGCAACCAAGAGCCTCTTGCGCTCTGGGCGCAGTCGTGAAGCTACAGGGACCAGATCTGCAGAAGCTATAGGCAAACAAAGGGGAGGACTGCAGAACGACGCCGCCCTTTTCGGAGAGAGGATCGGCCCGGAAGGTTTGCAGCGGCTTGAAGGAAGAGTTCGAACCCTTGTAAGCTGCGTCCTTCGAGCGGCTAGCTGTGGTTTCTTTCGGCTATCTGCTTGGCAGCGTAAACGAGAATTGCAGCGCCCAAGGCAACAAAACAAAAATTCAGAGCCGCGCGAGCCATACCCCGAACCATACCCTCGAGTCATACTCCGAGCCATACCTGCGTTCATACCCCCTACACCAACTTCCCGGCGCGGGCGCGTCAAACAAATACATACCCATATATACTTATATGTATATATAATATGTACACACATTCACATCGTACTTTTTGTGCAGACAACTATATTGCTCGTACCTAAACTTATACTTACAGAGCTTCCAGCAGGCATAAATCAACACCGGTGTCGCCTGGGGCCGCAGATTCGCCAGAAACCATGACAGGATTTGATCCGGGAGTCAGGCAAATTGTAGCGACCTCGACAAAGGGAGCTTTGCAAGCTCATGAGGAATGCTCCTTTCTTGGAAGTTCCTTATTGTAGCCCACGCCTCAGCCAGGATCGACGGAATCCGGAGGCTTCCATTGATCTCCGTTCTTACTCCAGGGCCAGCGTGACAGGCACTGAAGGGCAGCCACAGCTACAGTCCACAACTGGGGCCAGGTGACTTTCGACGCAGTCTGGGCACTAGGGCAGCCGTAGTCCAAGGGCAAGTTTGCTTCAGCTGTAGCGCGGCAAGGGGTTAGGGAGAAGTGGGCCTTCGCCCGTGGCCCGGCACGTGGCCAGAGCGCCAAGAGGGCTTTGCGGACCGGGGCTGTGGGCCTGGCAAGATCCGGATGATCTAAAGAGGGGTCTGACCGCTTCGCAGCCCTGGGCCCAGTTAGAACAACTCACATTTGTACTTTGTTTACTTCCATTTGTTGAAGAATGCTTGTCAGTGTCCCCTGCTGGTTTTAAAGGGATCTTATCGCGGCTGGAAAGTTGATTTTCACATGGGGGGCTTCAAGCAAGTTTTAGAAGCACTAGACCAAGTTTGAACGTGTTTTCCGTTTGTTGTTTACTGTTTTCGAGGCGTGCCTATCAAAGCGCGTCCATATTTACCGGCTTTCATCCGAACATTTCGCCCGCATCAGCTTCAGAAAGAATATTTAATTGGCCATCTTCAATCAACCCCGAAAATGGGTCTTCCAAGATGGAGGTTCTGCTTCCGCTGAAAGGAAAGCTCCCTAAGCTCCTCGAGTCAATCCAGTGAGTTGGCTGGCGTTCAGGTGGCCTTGTTCTTAATGGCCTTGACCTTCCTGATAGCCACCTTCGCCACGGCGATCAACGCGCTCAACCATCACCTTCCCAATCTCGATGGAGCGCCTGCTCCGCAAAGATCTAAAGCCTCGGGTTATGAAAGGATTTCGTCGACCCTTGGATGTGGTTTTCGATGGGTTCGGATTGGCCGCTCTATTTTGAACTGCCCAGTAGGGCGGATCGGTTCTGCGATGAGAACTGTTGCGCCTCTCACTGTAGCAGGTTGTCATTCGGCGTTAAAGCCAACTCCCACAGAAGACAGGGGGTGCTCGATTGGCCACATTGGTAACGGGTTTCCTTTGCTGTCCCCCGAAGCAACGTCCATGGTGGGGTCGTGAGACAAATCCTGTGAAAGGATGCATGGTTGTTGAATATCACATTTATCATATGTTCGGTCGTATCTTTTGGGGAGACCGGAAAAAAAACGAACAACTAAGATGTCCCAGTAGCCAGTGTAGACTTGGGCAATGTAGGGAAGCCATGAGAAACGGTACCTTGCCATATACTGTCGTCTATTGGCAAAGGAGAATCACAAGCGATGACACGTGGCACAGTCACCCTTTCGTAGAGGAACTGGGGGCTACTCATCAAAATCTCACGTACGCAATGAACATGGGTGTGTCGCTTTTGAGGGGTTTGTGGTTTTACACGAACACTAAAACAACCAACCATTTTTCGGGTTCCCCCCAAAAAAGACCCACCCATAGCGACCATGTTTCATATCACACGGGGAAAGACTGATTATTCAACGTGGCTCTGGCTGTCAGCTTGCTTGACGGGAAAGCGTTTGGTTTCATACTTGCCGGGTTCTGGGTTTGTCTTGGTTTCCCACTGGCCACGCATGTGCATTGGCAAGCCCCTCGGCTTTGCCGGCTTCGCCGGCATTGCTGCAATGTGGAGCGCACGCCCCAACAGCAACCAGCTCGGTGGAGTCCAAACCTGCAGATGACGGTTCCCTTATTTTGCGATCTTCTTTTCAGTTTTAACAAGTTCACTTGGAGTCTTCCAGCTTGAGCTTGCAAACCTCGGGCCCCTTTTCTGGCAGGCCTTACAGCCCCATCTGCCCCCCTCTGTCAAGTGGTCATTGGCTTCCGCTGTCTAGCTTATCAGACGAGACCCTTGCCTGCAAGGCAAACCAGCCCAGGACAACTCAGCTTACATGGCCATGGGTCAAAACCCGATCCCATTTTGGGGCGGACGAACACCCATGTACCGGGGTTTTGACCCACTGCCATCTACAGAAGTTCATCCCCCCAGGCCCACGCTCTGACTCTCATTTAGCTTAATGCTTGTGGCTCAAGGACTTCCTGGCGCTTCGCTCGATGAAGGGGCCCCAAACCTCCGGCACGAACTGCTGGTGATAGCTCCCAACAAGCGCAGCTTTTGAATAATTTCCCTGCAAGAACTCGGGGCCAGGCTTGATGTGTTTGATGGTTTCACCAAGGTTGTTGATCGGATAACACTGTTTTTGGAATGCTAGCGAAGCACGTCGCTGCTGGGACGAAACGGAACAAATCAGTCCTTAAGCATGTCTAGTGCATGTTGCGCCCCAAGGTATTGCATCAGGAACATTGCGAGTGATTGCAACAGAGCCTCTAAGTCAGATGTGCGCCTGACGCAAATTGGCACATCGCACATGTGCAAGAGGGGTGAATGTAGTGGGGCTGGACTGCTGGATTGTCCCACGGTGCTTTCCCATGTGGAACACAGCTTCCATCGTCCAACGAAAAGTGGACAGTCATGACATTCTATGTCCGCAGTACTCAACGACGACATCAAGAAAACTCAATGCAGTCCAGCCCGCGTGCTCCGAAAAGATTCATCAAAAATTGGTACCCAACATGGAACCCTGCTAGCTGGAAAACATGGACCAACATTTGCGGTCCCCCTGGTTTAAGTTTGACTCATACCCATATGGCATGCACCATGCCTGCCGAAAAGAAACGAGGTGCTGGTCTGGACCAAATGCCTGCTCCAGATCACTCTTGGCCTCTACCCCGCATCCAACTACGAACAGCTGCAGGCGAGGCGCGTTTCAGCGACGTGTGCGTGCGCGCGTGTGTGTGTGTGTGTGTGTGTGTGTGTGTGTGTGTGTGTGTGTGTGTGTGTGTGTGTGTGTGCGTGCGTGCGTGCGTGCGTGCGTGCGTGCGTGCGTGCGTGCGTGTGTGTGTGTGTGTGGGTGTGTGTGTCTGTGTGTGTGTGTTTGTGTTTGTGTTTGTGTTTGTGTTTGTGTTTGTGTTTGTGTTTGTTTTTGTTTGTGTGTGTGTGTGTTTGTTTGTTGGTTGGTTGGTTGGTTGGTTGGTTTGTTTGTGTGTTTGTTTTGGTTTGTTTGATTATTTTGCTTGCTTTGTTTGATTTGTTTTTTGGTTGTGTGTTTGTCTTGTGTATGTTGTGTATGTAGTTTCTGTTTTTGTTTTTGCTTTTTGTTTGTTCGTTCGTTGTTTGTTTGTTTGTTGTTTGCTTGTTTTTGTTTGTTTGTTTTTGTTTGTTTTTGTTTGTTTGGTTGTTTGGTTGTTTGTTTGTTTGTTTGTTTGTTTGTGGGTTTGTTTGTTTGTTTGTTTGTTTGTTTGTTTGTTTGTTTGTTTGGTTCTTTGCTTTGTTTTCCTTTGCTTTGCTTTGCTTTGCTTCGTTTGTTGTGTTTTGTTTGTTTGTTTGTGTGTTTGGTGTCTTTGGTTTGCTTGTTTTGTTTTTTGTTTGTTGTGTTTGTTTGTGTTTGGTTGTGTTGTTTTGCGTGCGGCGTGCTTGCTTCTTGATTGTTTTGTTTGTGTGTATGCGTTTCTTTCTGAGGGTGCCCTTGTGGGGTGGTTTGAGAGGAAACCAAAGGGAAGCCCCCGTTGCCAGCGGCGGAAATCACTTGCAAGCAGCTGTGACAACACCCGGGCTCCCGCCTACGCCCGGGATTCGAACCTCCATTGCTTTTTTCTACCTGGAGTCTCCACGACGTTTCAACATGGGGTCATGCCCCCCTTGGCGAAAGGGTCATGGAGACTCATTGATGGCCAGAATGAAAGGCGTTGTTTGTGAGTTCCTTGGGGATGTGCACACTAAGAAAGAACTGAACCCACAAAAGTCAGGAACAAGAACTCATCTCGTGTGTTGAGACCCGTGACGCCAACCAGGAACGCCCGCATCAAGCGTCTTCAAGCAACCAACCACAACCAGCAGCCGAACAACCAACAACCAAAAATCAGTTACAGGCCCACACGCTCACACAGCGTGGGCACCCTGGATTTCTGTGTTGCCCAGCCGGCAAGCTGGAGCCTCCCAATCACGCGAAGCCCAGCTGGACAAGGGTTTAACTTGATGTTTCTCAAAGAGGAGCTCGAAACATAGAATCCAACAAGCATACAACCAACGAACCGCACGACCAACCAGCTTGCCAGCCAGCCAGTCAGCCAACCCACCAAGCAAGCAAGCAAGCAATGAAGCAATCAACCAAGCCATGAACCAATGAACCAATGTACCAATGAAACATTCAATCAGTCTCAATCAATCAACCAGTCAGCCAGTCAGTCAATCAATCAATCAATCAATCAAGCAAGCAAGCAAGCAAGCAAGCAATCAAGCAAGCAAGCAATCAAGAAGTAAATAGATATAACAATAAGCCAAACAAGCAATGAGACACGCAAGCAAGGACAATAACAAACAAACGCACACACAAACAAGCAAACAACCAAACAAACAAACGAACAAACAAGCAAACAAACAACCAAGCAAGCAAACAAACAAACAAACAAACAAACAACCAAACAAACAAACAAGCAAGCAAGCAAGCAAACAAACAAACAAACAAAGCAAACAACACAAACAAGACACACAAGACAAACACACAACCGAAACAATCAAATCAACCAAAACAAGCAACACAAACAAACAAACCAAAACAAACAAACAAACAAAACAAACAAACAAACAAACAAACAAGCAACACAATCAAACAAACCAAAACAAACGAACAAACAAACGAACACACAAACAGACAAACAAACACGCAAGCAACCAAGCAATACAAACAATCAAGCGAACTTCAATCAAACAAACAAACAAACAAACACACACACACAAACACACAAACAACCCGCCGGGTCGTTTTTTGTCAGTCATTTTGGTCCGGAGTTTGCGTTTCGCCTAGCGTTTCGCCTGGCGTTTCGAACCATTTTCAACGGCTCGTTTCGGTGTTACCACTTATTGAACACATTGGCAGGTGTGTCATCAGGCTTCCCGGTCTCGTTTTCCTTTGTGTCTTCCTTTAAAACCTTTCTTCAATGCTGCGCAATGGTTTTGCGTGGGAATTTTCAGTATTCTTGGCTGCGGCCATCTTCAGTAATCAAAAGACACGTGTTTTTGGAGACCCGCAATGTTTCGTGCTTGTTGGCTTTGGCACCCTTGGATTTCTGAATATTGCGAAAGCATTGCCTTCGTTACTCTCAACCTTTGTTCCGCTCTCGGATCACCTCTGCTAAGTTTCATTCAGACACTGAACGGTGGCATTCGGATCACTTGGGTGGTGCTTACCATGTGTTGAGTGGGATCACTTGCACGGGGGTGTTTACCACGTGTTGGGTGGAATCACTTGGGCAGGGTACCATGTGTGAAACGGGAGGGTGCTTGCCATGTGTTGGGTAGGATCACTTGGGTGGGGTGCGTACCATGTGTTGGGTGGGATCGCGTGGGCGGGGGCGCTTACCATGTGTTGGTGGGATCACTTGGGTAGGGGCGCTTGTGTTGGTTGGGCTCGCTTTCTTGGGATCACATTCTTGCGAAGTGTGAAAAAGGGCCTTCTTACGAAGTGGGCAAAACGTGGGTTCAGCAGACGGTTCCCGACCCGATAGCACACACAAGCAAACAATACATACAAACAAGCAGCAAACCAACAAACAATCAATCAAACAAGCAAACAAACAAAGAAGCACACAAAAAAGCAATTGAACACACGCAGAATCAACCAAACAAACAGACAGACAAACAAACACACACCCACAAATACACCAACACAACCCGCACACACACAGACACAGACACACACAGGCAGCCAGACAGAGGCAGAGACAGAGACAGAGGCAGAGACAGAGGCAGAGACAGAGGCAGAGACAGAGACAGAGACGGAGACAGAGGCAGGACAGAAAAATAGAGACGCAGACACAGACACTGACACAGACGCAGACATTGAGACACTCAGACACATAGACGCGAACACACACACACACACACAAAAACACACACACACACACAAACACACACACAAACACACACACACACACAAACACACACGCACACAAACACGCACACAAACACACACACACACACACAAACACAAACACACACACAAACACACACACACACACACACACACACACACACACACACACACACACACACACACACACACACACACACACACACACACACACACACACACACACACACACACACACACACACACACACACACACACACACACACACACACACACACACACACACACACACACACACACACACACACACACACACACACACACACACACACACACACACACACACACACACACACACACACACACACACACACACACACACACACACACACACACACACACACACACACACACACACACACACACACACACACACACACACACACACACACACACACACACACACACACACACACACACACACACACACACACAGACACACAGACACACCGGCGCACAAACACACAGAGGAACACGTGCGAACACGCACCCGCGCACGTACGCTCACATAGGCAGGCGTACAGCACATACACAGCTGATTCTGCCTTTTCTGCATGCTACTTGTAGGGGGAGGCAGCGGTGTTTATCTTCGTTTTTCTCTTCGCCATTTTGGTCTTCATCTTCTTGGCGCTGCTTGGTGATGAAAATAGGGGGGGGGTCGCACAAATCCGTAGGGTGAGGCTTTGTCGTGCCAATGTTACTTGTGCTTTGGAGTTTCCATTTTGCAGCGTTGCTATTCCAACTGAGGGACCAAAAGTCTTGGCCATTGCAGAACAGCCTTCACAACCATGCTAGTAAGAACCAAAAATCAATGAGTTTGGGTCTCTGCTCAACTGTGGTTTGGGTTCCAGGTTGCCTGTGTCAGGAAGGATCTTTATCCTCGAGGGTTGTGGCCAAGTGCAGAATATTCCCTCTGGAAAAGTGGGCTCGGCAAGTATGCGCCACTCAAATTTCCTTGTCAGCTTGGGCCGCAAGCAGTTGCTCCAGTCAGTTTGGCCACCTAAAGCTCCCTTCGGCGCCGAAAGTATAGGAATGCTCTTGAAGGTAGGTGAATATGCACAATAATGCAGAAGTGTCTCAATAGGGAGAGCGCGAAATTGGCGGTATTTCCTTTCGCTTTGCCCTGTAAACCCGCTAACCAACGATTCCGCGATTCCCACGAAACACGTCACTTCTCCTCTGACGTGTTTTGCTTGGGTCTACGCGTGAGCAATGGTCGATCTTCTTGATGGTTGCTGTGGGGAGCAAGACAGGAGTACGCAATCTTTGGGCTGGACATAGCGGTGTGCTTGTTGGTTTTGAATCACCTGCCGGCAACTCCTACTTGCACAAAACCGTTATCGACCTTTGATCTTGTTGTGCAACTATTTTCACTTGAGGTCTCAAAACTGCCATCGTAGCACTTTCGTGCAGGGATGGTCATGGACTCCCTATTTGGCAACCAGGTCAAAAACCTATGAAGCAACTGCTTGCTTTTCCCGGTCAAGCTGACCCCCTCCCTCCAGGGAAATGGGGCCAATCCTTCCCCCCAAAGAGGAGGTTGATCCTTTGCTGGGTTCGCGCGGGACCTTTTTAGACCAGAATCTTCAGAATTTTCGCGGCAGCTGAGATAGAACAGCTTGAGAAATTCCTTCTTCCAGGTCCTTTGGTTCGCAACAAATATTTGCCACCTCACAAAGGTGTTTGGTATGCAACCAATGCCTCCCATGAGGCTTTTTTAGGGAACCCTTATTTCAGGTTCAAATCCCTCCCTCCCAACAAAAGGCGCCCACGCCCCCCAGCAAGACAGGCACCTTGGGGAGATATCTATTTGAGGAACCCTTCAGGAAGGGATGATTTGGTTTGTTTGGCATTCCATCTGGGTTTTGCTCAAGTGCTAATCCTGGAGACAGGGGTCCGGCTCTCTTTGTTTCCTGTTTTCGTGTGAATTGAACTTCACAAAACATATGTTCATGAGCTGTGGTGGGCGATGTTTTTGCTCGTATTTGGGGTTGAACGACACCATCCAAGGGCTGGTGTGATGTATATGGGGGGTCCTTGCATTGCCGACAGAAGGCTGTGTACTGATTAAATACATCGCCATGTCAAGAAAGAAAATGGAGGCAGTAGATACACCCGCAGTCCTTGAATTTGGAGACAGCCACTGAACGGCTCAGTATGTTCCACCGTGTTGAGTAACACAGTGGTCATCTCACGATGTCAAGGACGCCTTTGCGGGGCCATCAAGAATTTCGCTTCCGGGGTTTCCTTTCATTCCTTTCCTCTCTTGAAGGAACCACTTTGCACCAAGCTTGACTCAAAGTTGTGTGCCCCTTTTGTGTTTCCCTCATTCTAGGGCTTGACTCCCCATTCTTTTCAGCCATGGTTCTTTTCCTCAGGGCTTTTTTTCGGTGTTTTTTTCTAGAAAGATCCGGATCCCTGGAAAGAATGGAAATGGAAGTTAGTCCTAGCCTCATCCCTTTTGGCCGTTGCTGGTCCAGTAGTGCCTTTTGCCCCTTTTTTTGGGGAGGGTCCTACTAAAATAGACTGCAGGAAAAAATCGGGTACCCTTATTCTAACCTCTCTACTGGAGGACCTAGACTGGCTCCGGGTCGTTTGGTTTCACTCTGCAGCGCGAGGAATCTGCTGGTGGCGCAGCTGAACCAGGCCTACCACCAGATGTTCGAGGACATGCAGGGCAACGCCCGGCTGCAGCGTGCCAGTGCCGCTTGACTTGGGGGACTGCTGGGACCCCCAAAAAATAGATTTGAACCCCCCCCAAGTCAACAAAAACATAAAATTCTTTGGCAGGGAAGGGTTGAGCTCAAAGCAAGCTGGCATCCAAACATTCAGCCCCCGCCCCCCCCCCCCCCAACCCCTCCCCCGAAACGTCTGGCGTCCGCAAAAGAAGGCCATTTCCAGCAGCTGTGGGAGCAGGGATTCGAGGAAGGGTTTGGATGACAAGGTGGGGTATTGCTTAGGGCTCCATCTCCCTTTCCTTGCTGAATGTAGCAATTTATGCGCCCATTGCCAATGTCCTCGAAAGGAATCCAAAGCGGATGGATAACATTAAAATGGTGCCCACCATGAAAGGCGATGGAATCGAAAGGTTTGAGCTTCCGCCCGAAAATTCGCACTCACCATGTTTTTTTACCCGTTTGAGGTTCGCGGTGTTGCCAGTCAGTTGAGGTGGGCAGGAAGAATCATTTGATTCAAGGAGCAGCGTAAATTGGCAAAGAGTTGAATCAAAATTTCAATGTTCGAATGGGAATATGAGCTCCTTTTCCAAGAAGGATTTAGATTAACATTTGCCAAATTGGGACACGAAACAGGAAGGAACTATATGCAATGACTTGCAGCTGGGACATCTTTCAAGAAGCATGTGCTTTTTGATGACGGAAAGCGCTTCTTTGAAGCGTTTGAGTTGGACCACACGGGGGGGTGGGGGGTCGGCTGGTCGGCCTGATTTGCAGAATTTCGCGCCAAAAAAAGACGGCTAAACATTGGGTGTCTTTTCCATCTGTTGCTCGCTCGCTGCATTTTTGTGCAAAAACCTGCGTTTTATCATGCTTTTGCAAGGTGCTTTCTGCGTCGAGCTGGCTCGTTTTGCCTTTTTTTTGCCTTTTCTGGGCCAAAAGAAGACAGCTATTTCTCCGCTTCTCCTTGCTTGCTTACTGCGGGCTTGGACCTGCCTCGGGGATGCTGGGGATGCTGGGGGTGCTGGCGGCTCAGCCAGTACGCGGGATGCTGGAGATGCCGGGATGCTGGGGATGCTGATGCTTGGGCTTCATCTTTTGTTCGAGGAGCCTGTGTCGAGGTGATCCTTTGCACTGAGTCAAGCTGTTTCCCGGCGTGTCCACGGATCCTTTTGTCGTGTGAGCAGCGGCTTCAAACAGACGGCTAAATTTTAGGCGTCTTTTTTGGATGCTTTCGGCGTCCGATGCCCCACCCCACCCCACCCCACCCCACCCCACCCCACACCCCACACCCCGCACCCCGCACCATCACCCCACCTGTGGGGTTGGTCTCGGGCCAACTCCCACTAGGGCCGTGGTGTTTTCGGGTGGGCGCTGGGCGGTGCGGCTTCCGGGGGGTGAAGGTGGGGGTCTGGGACCGGGGGGCAGCTAAATATATATATATATATATTCATACATGTATATCTATATATATATAATCATATATATATATATATGTGTATACATACATGATAAATGTTCTTGTTGATTTTTTTTGCAGGGATGTTCCCTTGAAATTCCGTTTTCGTTAGATTTCTTTTCCGCTCAGCATTTGCACTCGACCAGACCCTTGGTTTTCCCTTCACTTCCGCGCGCTGGCCCGGCTCAGGTCATCGTCTCGGTGATGCACTCGACGCCAACGGCGTCTTGGGCCAAGTTCCTGGCGAGCCTGGGCTTCGAGCAGCGCCTGGAGTTCAACGAAGGCCTCGGCTTCGGCCTCGGCTTCGGCTTCGGCTTCGGATTCACGGCTCCCCCAACCAAAGGGTTGGGGGTGGGCTGTTGGGACCCCTTGATGCGCATCATGTATATGGGGAGTTGCGCCCACGGTTAATTTGGATGTTGCTCATCAAAAGTCATCGCAATTGGCCCAGAATTGGTCAGCTCCCCTCTTGTGTTGGTTGCTGTTTTGGGGTCCTTTTGTTTTCCACTAACCAGGCAAAAAATATATTTTTTGCTGGGGTCCTAATTCCAGCCTAGAGTTGTGGACGGCAAGTTTCATTGAGCGCTTAAATTCATGTCTTTGCGATTTCACCCATATTCATATGGGTATGGGTCAAAATTAAACCACCAGGGGACCGCAGGTTTTAGTCCTTGGTTCCATTTGCCAGGCTTCCATTTTGGGCACCCATTTTTAAGCCATATCTTCCTTTCTTTTTCCTTTTGTTTGGGAGGGGGGAGGGTCCCAAATTCGAGGCTAGTGGAATGAGTACAAATTCGCCCAGGGCAGCTTAAACACGTTTGCAACAGATCAACAGATGAGCCAACGCATTCCTGAGATCTGCAACCGGGTGTGTTTACCAAACTTAAAGCTTTCCCTGTGGTTTGCCCGGGAAAAAGCAGAGAATCATCACCAGGGCGGGGGAGGCTCATGATTTCCAGGCGGTGGGGATAACAAGTTGCCTTTAGCACCCGCCTTGTGCTTAGAGGCCAAAATTCCTTGCGGGTTGACTAAAAGGTCCTTTACATACGATCACCATTGGTTGGAAAACCACGAAAGCCACGAGAATTATGTGCCACTGAATGGGGGATGATTTTTCATGGTCAAAATTGGGGGTCTTTAGCGGAGTATTGATACCAACCCCCCGCCAGCCAACCACCAATCTATGAGGCTTTCTAGTCCAATACTAGTCTAATGTTTTTCTTGTCCACCATGTTTAGTCCAAACATATTTGTGGCTAGAACCCAAGCAACAACTCAAAAACATGATGTTTCCTACTAAATGGGGAACATTTCCCATCGTCATTTGGAGGCCCCACATGGAGTATTGATATCAGCCCCCACCAGCCAACCACCAATCTTTGAGGTTTTGTAGCCCAATACTAGTCCAATGTTGTTCTAGTCCACCATATTTAGTCCAAACACATTTGTGGTTAGAACCCAGCAACAACTCAAAAACATGATGTTTCCTACTACATGGGGAACATTTCCCATCGTCATTTGGAGGCCCCACATGGAGTATTGATATCAGCCCCCACTAGCCAACCACCAATCTTTGAGGTTTTCTAGTCCAATGCTAGTCCAATGTTGTTCTAGTCCACCATATTTAGTCCAAACACATGTATGTCTAGAACCCAAGGAACAACTCACAAACACAATATTTCCTACTAAATGGGGAACATTTCCCATCGTCATTTGGAGGCCCCACATGGAGTATTGATACCAACCCCCCGCCGGCCAACCACCAATCTATGAGGCTTTCTAGTCCAATACTAGTCTAATGTTTTTCTTGTCCACCATGTTTAGTCCAAACATATTTGTGGCTAGAACCCAAGCAACAACTCAAAAACATGATGTTTCCTACTACATGGGGAACATTTACCATCGTCATTTGGAGGCCCTAAATGGAATGTTGATATCAATCCCCACCAGCCAACCACCAATCTATGAGGTTTTCTAGTCCAATACTAGTCCAATGTTGTTCTAGTCCACCATATTTAGTCCAATTTCATTTATGGCTAGAACCCAAGCAACAACTCAAAAACAGGATGTTTCCTACTAAATGGGGAACATTTCCCATCGTCATTTGGAGGCCCCACATGGAGTATTGATATCAGCCTACACCAGCCAACCACCAATCTTTGAGGTTTTCTACTCCAATACTAGTCCAATGTTGTTCTAGTCCACCATATTTAGTCCAAACACATTTATGTCTAGAACCCAAGGAACAACTCAAACATGCGATATGTCCTACTAAATGGGGAACATTTCCCATAGTCATTTCGAGACCCTAAATGGAATGTTGATATCAATCCCCACCAGCCAACCAGAAATCCCTGAGGTTTTCTAGTCCCCAAATATATCTAGTCCCTGAGGTTTTCTAGTCCAATACTAGTCCAAGGATTTTCCAATCCAAACACATTTATTGGTAGAACCCAAGCATCAACTCCCACATCTTCTTCGCCGACTCGTCCGACGCGTCTCGTTCGTAGGCGACATCGGCATCGCCGGGGGCTTGCAGGTCTTGGAGCCCGCGAAGCCCGGATTAGCGATGAACGGCTCGGATGAGGGGCCAAGCGTTTGTGAGGTGGTCGTTTTTGGGGCCAAATGGCTACGATTCTTGAGGCTTTTTTGAAGGGTAGCGATTTTTGCTTGGAAAACCCCGGCCAAAAATGGTGGTGCAAGTTGTTTGGAAAAAAACCTCCAGAAAATGGTTAGTCTCCTGTTGGTTTCTCTTTAAAACCAACATTTAAAAAAGATGCAAGACATGAAGAGACAACTCGCAAATGAGAAGATGGAGAGTCAAGAAGCTGTTTTGGGGTTAGAGCAGGATCGCCTTGTTCGCGCCGGCCCGCCTGAAGAAAAGGCCATACCCAAAGTTGATAACCCGACCTGTGCTCGTCGGAAGAAAGTGGGTTCCAGGAACTTCCTGCACCTTCAAACTTACCCATTGCCAGACTTGGCTTACCTTTGCACTTTTGCCTTGGGCTTCCATCATTTTCACTAGCCCAAGCGGCAAGTTCGGGGGTCTACGTTTGGCCCAAGCCCAGGAACAAGTTTGAGATTGCACCTACATGTACATGTAGTTTGAGTTTTCAGGTTTTGGTTTGGAGGTCCAGAGCCATCACCGCTTTTGGTTGTTCTGCTTGTAGTGTCCATGGTGACGGGTTTCCTACATACACTTACCCTTTTAGTTGTGAACATCACCATTTGGACCAACTTGGAGCGGTCCCTGTCACATGACCAGGACGCAGGCCAATTGGAGCGATGTTGCTTTTGGTGGGGTGATGAAGGGGGACACAATATATAAGGAACCCTGTATACACGTGGCGATGGGCGACGCGTTTTGGAGGTAGCTTTACAGGGAACAAACCTTTGAAGCTTCAGTGCCATACCCCAAAAGATGTTCAGCATCACTTTCCAAATTTGGCACTCCGCAAACTAGTCTTTAAAACAGGGCATGATGACAAAACCCTAGCATCTTATGGAGCAACGTCCTAAAGTCTCGACTTCTGTCCGCAAAAGCTGAAAAGCGTCGCTGAATCGGGGCCAGAGAAGAGTTTGGGGGATGGCTTGGGCAGCCGCGGACGCCACAAGGACGTCGGCAAACAATGCCTCTCCCCGCTGGTTTGTTTGTTTTCTTACACCCAAAGTAACAGCTTGCGCTATTGTTCAATCCCCCTATAAAGGGAATGCCCCCCTATGCTTGGAACATATCCAAAGCAGCTGCTTCATAATCCCCCCTGCCCTGTTTGCCGGAACACCCCCTTCCTCCCAGCACACGTCGAGGCCCAACCCCTTAGCAAAAACTCCATGTCCGCCACATCACTCTACTCCCGTGGATTTGCAGCGCATGTTTTAACCACCCTCCCAATTCGGTCCAGTTCCTTTCAAGGGAATCCAAGAGCATGTCGTGCCACGTAGATGTGTAAAAGGTGTCGACTTGCCCAAGCTTCCACAAATCACAAACCCAAACCCAAATCCCGGAGGAGCTCTAACAAGGGTCCAAGTCCTTTCAAGGGAATGCAAGAGCATGTCGTGTCACGTAGATGTGTAAAAGGTGTCGACTTGCCCAAGCCCCACAAATCACAAACCCACGCCCCAAACCCAGAGGAGCTCTAACAAGGGTCCAAGTCCTTTTAAGGGAAGCCAAGAGCATGTCGTGTCACGAAAGATGTGTAAAAGGTGTCGACTTGCCCAAGTCCCACAAATCACAAACCCAAATCCCAAACCCGGAGGAGCTCTAACAAGGGTCCAATTCCTTTCAAGGCAATCCAAGAGCATGTCGTTTCATAGATGTGTAGAAGGTGTCGACTTGCCCAAGTCCCACAAATCACAAACCCAAACCCAAAACCCGGAGGAGCTCTAACAAGGGTCCAATTCCATTCAAGGGAATCCAAGAGCATGTCATGTCACGTAGATGTGTAAAAGGTGTCGACTTGCCCAAGCCCCACAAATCACAAACCCAAACCCCAAACCCGGAAGAGCTCTAACAAGGGTCCAATTCCTTTGAACGACTTGCCCAAGTCCCACAAATCACAAACCCAAACCCCAAACCCGGAGGAGCTCTAACAAGGGTCCAATTCCTTTTGAAGGGAATCCAAGAGCATGTCGTGTCACGTAGATGTGTAAAAGGTGTCGACTTCCCCAAGCTCCACAAATCACAAACCCAAACCCAATTCCCGGAGGAGCTCTAACAAGGGTCCAAGTCCTTTCAAGGGAATGCAAGAGCATGTCGTGTCACGTAGATGTGTAAAAGGTGTCGACTTGCCCAAGCCCCACAAATCACAAACCCACGCCCCAAACCCGGAGGAGCTCTAACAAGGGTCCAAGTCCTTTTAAGGGAAGCCAAGAGCATGTCGTGTCACGAAAGATGTGTAAAAGGTGTCGACTTGCCCAAGTCCCACAAATCACAAACCCAAATCCCAAACCCGGAGGAGCTCTAACAAGGGTCCAATTCCTTTCAAGGCAATCCAAGAGCATGTCGTTTCATAGATGTGTAGAAGGTGTCGACTTGCCCAAGTCCCACAAATAACAAACCCAAACCCCAAACCCGGAGGAGCTCTAACAAGGGTCCAATTCCTTTCAAAGGAATCCAAGAGCATGTCGTGTCACGTAGATGTGCAAAAGGTGTCGACTTGCCCAAGCCCCGCAAATCACAAACCCAAACCCCAAACCCGGAGGAGCTCTACCAAGGGTCCAATTCCTTTCAAGGGAATCCAAGAGCATGTCGTGTTACGTAGATGTGTAAAAGGTGTCGACTTGCCCAAGCCCCACAAATCACAAACCCAAACCCCAAACCCGGAGGAGCTCTAACAAGGGTCCAATTCCTTTCAAGGGAATCCAAGAGCATGTCGTGTCACGTAGACGTGTAAAAGGTGTCGACTTCCCCAAGCTCCACAAATCACAAACCCAAACCCCAAACCCGGAGGAGCTCTAACAAGGGTCCAATTCCTTTCAAGGGAATCCAAGAGCATGTCGTGTCACGTAGACGTGTAAAAGGTGTCGACTTCCCCAAGCTCCACAAATCACAAACCCAAACCCCAAACCCGGAGGAGCTCTAACGAGGGTCCAATTCCTTTCAAGGGAATCCAAGAGCATGTCGTGTCACGTAGATGTGTAAAAGGTGTCGACTTCCCCAAGCTCCACAAATCACAAACCCAAACCCCAAACCCGGAGGAGCTCTAACGAAGGTCCAATTCCTTTCAAGGGAATGCAAGAGCATGTCGTGTCACGTAGATGTGTAAAAGGTGTCGACTTGCCCAAGCCCCACAAATCACAAACCCAAACCCCAAACCCGGAGGAGCTCTAACAAGGAACAACACAAAGCCAAACAACAATAATGCAAAAAGCCACACACACACACACACACACGTCATAGACATCTCTTTTCTCTTTGGCTCTTTGGCATCCACCACCAAAAAACGATCCGCTTGTGAGTTGCATCGCATCTGATCTCAGGAGCACCTGGGTGGTCACCGAGGACGCGGTGAAGCGCTACGGGGGCTCCACGGCGCCCTCCATGCCTTGGCCCACGGAGGCGCTTGCGAGAGCGGCGTTGGTTTTTTTTCCTGGTCCTCTGGGCCTCTGGCCTCTTGGGGATATGGGGGAGGTGTCCTTCTTAGGTTAGTAAAAAAATGCAGGCTCTGGTTTAGATGGGTTTGATTCCAACCAGGGCCATCTATGTTTCCAAAAGGACACCTATGTGTGGGGGTTGATCAAACCTGGGCCTCTCAGCTAGGTGCCCTTTTTTCTCACCCCTTTTTTGGTTGGGAGGGTTCCCCTACTCCGAACAGCCCAACAAATCCGGCCTTACTAGCCCCAAATTTGCTGTCCATTTGGAGAGGACATGGGTTCACAAGTTGCCCAATTGAGCCAACTGTTGATATGGTCCGTGGGGGCATGATTCTACGACGAGCTCGCCTAAAAGGTTCCTGCAAAATGGATTTTTCCCAGGATTTCTATTGGGAACCCAAGATCCAAGCAGAACTCCTGGCTGAGAATTCGGGGGACTTCTAGTGCGGGTGTATCGCTTTTGGGGAACACTCCTCTGGACGGGTTGACGGGTTGAATCCGGGGTCAGCATCAATGAGGACCTTTTGGATGGTCCAGTGTCAAAGGGGAACCGACCATGTCCTTAGCTTTTAGAAAAGTAGATGGGTTCGAATGGTTTAGATTGCTTTTATGCCCCAATTACCAGTGAAACCCATCGATTTCTATGCAAAAGGTCACGAAGCCAAACACCGACGGGGCCATCCGTTGTTTATTGGACGACACCTAGTACGCGTGCCCTGGTTCCGGCTTGATGCGCATCTGTGCGAACCAGTCCACGGGCGGCTTCCTCCATACGACTTTCTTTGCCGCAAAACCTAAGGCTACTTCTGATAGATGTTTTTTTTGGTTGTGTTGGTCGAAAAATTGATGGGTTTCTATTCCTGGTTTACCTGGCGTTGTGTTGTGTTTTTTTCATCTACCAGTCATCTAGTTCCCCTGATACACGACACCTATGCTACGTCCACCCCAATGAACCGAAGCAAGCGCTCCATTGTTTCCTTAGCGTAGGCTGCAACGTACAGGCAGGGAATTTCGCCGAGAGCATCTGCCCGCGGAAACAGGCGCTGCTTGCCTATATGAGCCAACAAACAAAAGCGGCGGCCATTTGGTTTACAAGCTACATTGCAAACAAGAGGACGAGATAAAGAACCACTACCCAAGTGGTGTCCAATCCTAGGCTGCCTGCGGAAACAAGCAAGAGGGGGGCCAACCAACAAACCAAAAAGAACCAAGGGCGCCAAAGCGAAACGGAACCAAGGGACAGCCAGGGGAGGGGGGCTCCATTTGGTGTTCTTTTTGTTGGACCTGCCCCAAAATCGCCACGGTTGTGCTGTTGCTTTCCCTTTGAACCCAACAAACCATGGGTGCACTCAAAAACGCATCCAAAGAGGACCGACATCAAAGAAGAACACCTTCAAACCCCCAACCATTTCAGAAAAACAAGAAGGTCACATTAAAAACTCAAAACCCCAGCCATACAAGAAACGAATCACATTAAAACCCCCCATGAAAAGAGACCACCATGGAAACCCCAACCATCAAAAGCAAATCACATTAACCCTCCCACCATCAAACAAGTCTACCATGAAAACCCCAACCAAAAAGAAAGAATCACACTAAAACGCCTACCAGCAAAAAACCGACACACCATGAAAACCGCAGCCATCGAAACCAAATCATTGAAACCCCCACCATCCAAAGACGACACGCCCAAAATGTGTTTCTTTTCCAACTCGACTCGGAGGTGCAAGGGCAGACGGAGGAGGACCGCTTCGAACGCCTGGAGAAGCTAATCATTTCAAGCACCAGGCACCGTCGAAGACCATTTGGATCCCCCCGAATTTTGGGGTCCACCCAATGGCTTTGAAAGTTGTTTTGAGGGCACCCAGGTTAATATTCACACCCAAACGGATTTGTATGTTCTGGAGGGTGCCCATGTTTTTTTGGTGCTTTCCTTTATTCTTCTGGCTTTAAAGGGAAACCAAAGGACAATCGCCCTCGTTTGTTCACTAAAACAGACCCGAAAATGGGTTCAACATTGCGAGCGCAGTCGAAATCGGGGTAGGTCAGGGGGCAGCCCACGAATTGGTGCGGCCGCCATGGTTCTTCACATTTTGGGTGGATTGGACCCCTCTACCGGGTGTTGATAGCCGGTTTTCCGGAGACCCGAAGCAGGGCTGCTTGAAGGGCCATGGAAAAGCGTTGGGTGGAGAAGGGATTTCAGCAGATCCATTGAAAGCTATCCCTTGTTTGGGATCGCTTGGGATCTATTTCTATAAAGACAGATCCAAGGAAAGAAACCGATCCATTTCTCCCTTCCCCTCCCCGGATTTAGAGAGCCCCAAAGCCATTGTTAGAGAAAACTATGGGCCGCATTTGTTTGCGTAGCAGGGGAGCACAAAGAAGTACGCTTGAAGGGAGCGCCCAAAACCGATTCTCATTAGCGTTTGATTTGGTGGTTCTGCCTTAAAAAAAAAAACTTACGGGTTATGCTACGTTTATCGCTTTATCAGAGGAAGTTTAGAAGGAACTTCCGCGTTGCGGGACCGACTGAAAAGTGGTCTTGCGCACAGGCAAAGAAAGAGTGAACACATGCAAGAAAACATGCGCGGGCGTGTGGTGGGGGAATGTAGACGGAAAAAATAACCTGCCGCGAGTTTTGGCGTCTCCGGCGGGCTGAAAGCTGCCTTGATCGCAGCGCCTCACGGGCGACGGGGTCCGTTGGCACGGACGCGTCGGTTTCGCGTGACAGGCGCATCGCTTCGGCAACCTGGGGTGTGGATTGCGCGGTAGGCGCGGTGGTTGGATTGGCGATTAGATTATGTTTGACAGGCGTAGCAGTTTCACAGTCTGAGGTGTAGATCCCGTGGCAGGCGCAGCACTTCCGCAGACTCAGGCTCACATTGCGTGACAGGTGCAGTCTTGTGGCGACGCTCGCACGGAAGTGGCGCAGATCCCATGGGCACGGACGCGCATGCTGGCACGTGCAGATTTCGTGGCAGGCGCAGCAATTTTGGCACGAGAGATAGAGGGGTTGAGGGAGAGGTAGAGAGATAGGCGGGTAGACAGGTAGATGGATGGATGGATGTATGAGTAGATAGACGGAGAGATAAGTAGATATCTGTAGATACATGGATGGGTGGATAGACAGATAGACAGATCGCAGGATGGGCAAATAGATAGATAGGTCGAAAGCTAGCTAGATAGACTGCTCGATAGACGGATAAAGAAAAAGAAAGAGAAAAGGAAAGAAGGGAAGGACAAAGAGACAAGGGATAAAAGAGAAGAACCTGAGAAAGAGAAACAAAAAGAGAAAGAGAAAGAGTTGGAGAAAATGACAGAGACGAGAAAGCAAAAGAGAAGACGAAAGGAATAGGAAAAAAAAGGGAACAGGAAAGAGAAGGAAAAGACAAAGAATACAGGCGAAAAAGACAAAGAGGAAGGAAAGAGCAAGATAGATATAACTATTTCTATTTTTGAACCTCCCGAGCCGGCTTCTCCGGCTCTACTGGAAACCGTTTCATTGATATTCATTTGATTCCCATTGACCTAAAGCCAATTGAACGACGTCCATGGTGCCCCCAGCCCTTTGAAGGCCGAAGGTGCGGATCCGCCCCCCGCTTCGGATCTCCGCCTCGGATCCCCGCAGGGAACGCAGGCCTCACCGCCCCAAGCACGGATCCGGCTCCGGAGTGTCCGGAGTCGCCTCCAGCGTGCTGTCCTCCGACAGCAGCCACGGCCGCGGCCCCAATGTGTTGCCGTTTCACACCCTTGCGCTTGGGGTTGGCAGGATTAGTCATAAACCTTTTGAAAGGAGATCGAAGCCATGACAAGGATTCTCATCAAGGGGCTCATGACCACTACCCACAATAAAAGTGGCATGACCCCATTTTTGTTAGGCTCTTGGAGACCCTAACTTCCCTTCCACACCCCCCTCCCCACAAAAAAAACAACAGCGCACAAATGGCTCCAATCTCGAATTCGAGGGGTTTTCTTCGGTTGGGTTTTGCAGCAGCACTTTGCCGAAATCGCCCCTTGCGGAAACCAAAGCCCCGTCGCGGAAGTGAATCTGTGCTCGATGGCATTTCCCGCGTGATTTCAGACTGAGACCACTCCCCCAAAAGAATCGGTTTCCTTTTTGGCTTCCCTTTGAGTTCCAACCAAACGGGATCCACGCTTTTGAGAAGCGCGAAGTTGAATGAACATGCCCTTCCTGCGCAGCTTCTGATGAAGTTCCCGGTAGGCCCTGCGCCTGCCATTGTTGGAAGCCCATAGCTTGGTCTGTGGCAAATTCCAGCCCGGCCTTTTGCAAAGCATCCCAAACCTGACCAAAAGGAATGTATTTGGAGGGGTTTCGTAGTTGTGTTTCACAGCCATCGAACCTGCATGTATTTTTGTCCGAAGAGCCCTTGGAGATGTTTGGCAGCAACTTGCATTGTTCGAACTTGTGATAGGAAAGACTATCCCAGGCTTGATGTTTTCTCTAACCATCGACAACCTGACACCTGTGGTCCGACATGAAATCTAATATGGAAGTAAAGCGGAAATGAAAGCACAAGTTCATCAGGGTGAAGCATTCTTCGAACTCGAATGGCTCAATCTGAAGGTTGCAGCTGGAATGTGGAGCGGGGGCGATGTAGGATCACTGTGACCTTTTCTCCATCGAACAACGCAACCTGTCCACTTGAAATACCTTGAATTCCTACTCGCTGAGTGGTTCGTCGACCACAACATTCAACACTTTGAGCCGACCACTTGTACCTGACTTGAGTCAGGATGCCGAGAAAAATATACAGGGCTCCGGCCATTTGACGTTCTGAAAGTTTCCGATTCGCATCCGGGTGAAACTGGGCGAACCCCCAACGAGAAGGGGGGAGATGTGGGTCTTCATCTGATGTGGCCATGGGTCAAATCCCGTACCCCCAGTGAACATCCCAATCCCCACTAAAATAGACTAAAATGGGTGGTGCACCTAGCCCAAAATGGTACCATTGGTTTTGACAACCACAGCCATGTGGGTCTTAGAGGGTGGTATGTCGGGTCTGTTTTGAACGCCGAAGTTATGAAGGCTAACCCTCCCCCAAGTTGTTTCTTCAGGCTGGGAATCTTTGGGAGCCTGTCGGGGAGGCATGGGAATCATTGACGTTGGCGGGCTTGCGCCCTCTTTCCAATATGAGCGCGGATGTTCTGTGACAGAAAAACTAGGTCCCCCAGTAGTGCCGTTGTACCCTTTTTTTTTTGGGGGGGGGGGAGATTCGGTCCCCCTACTAAAATCGACAAACCAGAACAAAGTTGGTACCCTTGTTCCAAGTCCTCTCTACTGGAGTACCTAGGAAAGCAGTCCCAGACCCTCGCATCGGATTGTCACCAAGAAGCCAGCTTCCATGCACTCAGGCGGAGGATGAATCGATTCGAGGCGAGCGCCGTTGTGATTGGAAGTTGTTTTTTGTTTTTTTCCCCGCAAGTTTTGAGGGTTGGATCCCCAATGGTCCTTGTTGCATGTTGGTTGGCCCCGTGTTTTTGGGGTTCCAAGACCGGGGAACCTTCGGGGCCATGGTCTCCGTAGATCCGGCGAGACCCTCGGGATGGTTTTTGAAAGGCACACGTCGCCTCCTTGGAACGGAGAGGACCTTGGGGCTTTCCCAAAAATCGACTTCCCAAGACGGAGCCCGGGGAAGCCCAGAAGCCCGTTAGCTTGTGGGTCGCCGACAGGCGAAGAAAAAAGTCGTCCAAGGGGACCCATTTGAAAGAGAATTCATGTGGGCACATCAAACCGCAAACCCCGAGCAAGGCGGGGTCAAGAGGTCATCCCGAGGCTTAGTCATGATCCTATGTTTGTTTGGAAAATAGATTGGCAAAATGATGAGCCAAACTGAAAGGAGTGAGATCCATCAATTGTCAACCAAACTGAATTCTACTTTTAACCAAGCTGTCCTGCGGCACGGCTTATGATCCTGGGACTTAGGTATGTTTACCTCTACCGTTCAAAGGCTGGTAGCATCCCCGGATGTCAAGCCAGAGGACCGAGGGCCAGGCATTAGGTAGGCCCCTTTTATTAACCTCCCAACAGAAACATGTATTCTGTCGAGGGAATGTAAACAATAGCAACAGGTGCAGCCGAATCGGAGCCAGACACTTGGAGCCGAAAAGCCCCGAATCGCCCTTCTGGTCTCGCAAAAGGAGCCGCCTGCGGGGAGAGTTGTCCGAACCCAAGAGGCATCTGGTCTCGACATTTGGTCTCCGCAAGACTCATGGGACTTCAACATGGTGCAGGTCTAAAGCCGTATGGAGCTTCGACACCCTCCGATTATGATTGGTTCAATGCAGCTCTGGGCACAATAGGATGTGTCGACCTTCCCTAGCTGACCTCTGGTATCCTGACGATATGTGGTTGAACATGGGAATTAAGCCCTAGAAGTGATGGTTCAAAATGATCAAAGCAGGGTAGAAGCTTGGCCCAATGTCCGTTCCCCGGCCGTAATTTCTGCGGGATGGGTTTTCGAGCGAAAGATGGCCCCTGTCTAATTGGTTCACGAAATGTCCACTGTGGTTGCCGCTGCAAGCATCAAGTTGCTTTGAAGTCGCCATTGCTTTGCCCTCTCGGAAAAACAACAGAAAAAGAAGAAAAAAGAAAAACGTAAGTCGTGGATCGGATTTCCAACATGGGTATGGACCAAAAGTTAGCCACCAGACCGCAGGTTTTTGTTCTTGGCTCCATTGACCACGGCAAGATATTTTTGGGTACCTAATTTTGACCCACACTCACCTGGGCCAGGATTTCGGGCTGGTGGTCATCCAGACCTGAGCCTCCCTGAGACGAAGGCACAAGGCAAGAGACGTCCGATGCAGGTTGATTGAAGAGGCCTTGGTGCATTTTGCCAAGGGGTGTTAGGACTTTAACTTTTTGCCAACTAATGGGTTTTCCATTAGTAAAAGTTAAACCTTTAGCAGGGGGGCAGAAACAACTTTTTTCCCTGTGCCAAACAGGGTGGTTTTGCTTGTTTGCCGGGGTGCTCACATCCCGGACTTCTTTCGAAGGGCCTCGCGGTCCTATTAGCCTTTTGTTTCTGTAGCCTGTTTGGCGATTGGTTTTTGGGGGAAACCATCCCTTAAACATGGGGGCGGCTTGCGTTTACCCTTTTGAACCATCCAAAAGGGGTTCCCCTATTTGTGGATCCCACAGCTATTTCATTTGTATTTCCCCCAGCAGGTTGAACTTGGGGCAAAAGGCATCTGGGGGCTGGCAACTTACCCCAGGGTCTAAGCCCGACTTCTCCACTGGCAAGCATGTGTTATGCGATTAGTGGGGGTTGGACCTTTTAGTACGCATTGGGTGCGTCTTCTGTCCGCAACACGACGATTTAGACGCACGGAATTTGTATCCTGCGAATCCCCTTGTGTTGCGTGATAAGCTGTTAAAATTGATCTTGCACAGCCTTGGACCAACCGTCTTGAAGCGTGTTTGGAGACAGCTGCGTCATCGCGTTTGCAGTCACGGCCCCCAGATTGTGCTTAGCATGTTCAGCATTGCTGTTTACCTTTTGGAGAACCCACACTGAGTGTTCCCTTGAACGTTAACGCCACTCTCGACCTTGCAAGAACCCTTTACTTCCACTGAGGGTTCCTGTGAACGTGAACACTACCACTTTGGCAATGGTGCTTACCCTTGTGAGAATGCTTTCAGTCCACAGAGTGTTCGCGTGAATGTGAGTGTTAACATGTTGGCATGAATGTTTGCCCTTTGGAAAGCCGTTTCAGTCCACTGAGTGTTTCCGTGAATATAAACGCTCTTTGGAGAACCCTTTTAGTCACTCAGTGTTCCCCGTCCCGTGAACGTGAACGCTACCATTTTGGTTTTGGTGTTCAGCCTTTGGAGAGCCCTTTCAGTCCACTTCGTGTTCCCCGTGAGCGTGAACGCTACCATTTTGGCGTAGGCGTTTACCCCGCGGATCTCCTTACGACACCAGCTGGCGGGATTGAACTCATGAAAACACCTGCGGGCGGGTTCCCACCCGATACCTTTTAGTAGGGACAGACAACCAATGTCTGGGACCCCTTTTTTGCCAGGTCGAGCCAGTCAACTTCTCTCAGGTCCTTGAGGGGAACCCAGGATAAACCAACCCCTGCATTGGTCAACTGAGGGGCGTCCCCCTTGACCTTTCAAGTTGCACCTTCTGCAAAGTTCTGGATAGGTCCAGATAGGCCCGGCGTGACTGGGTGACTCTCAGAAGGGTGGCGTAACCAAAGCTCACAAAGGGGCATTGCTGTCACAGGAATCGGGTTTGTCCCAAAAGGTGGGCACATGCGTCCTTCGCATCATCACCCTTAAAAATGCAATAGGGGGGTGCCCAAGGTCATCTAAGGTCCCTTTCTTGTGTCTTGTATTTAGTTCCTGGGACCCCCACTACCTGTGAAAATGTGGCATATATGTTTCCTCCATATTTCATATTCGAATACATATGTATATATTGTGAAAGTACATGTATAGGTACAGTTCAATATTACCTTTCCGTCCACTGACGGAGTTTTCTTTTGGAAGGGTGATGTGTGTGTGCAGGGAAGTTTCAAGAACTCCCTTTTTTAAGCGCGCGTCATGAGCGTTTGCCCAAAACGCACATTGGCCTCAACAGGGAACGGATCTCCCAAAACAGGGGAGGCCGGTCGGGGCTTAACAACAGGGGCGGCATTCGAGCCAGGTCAGCCCGAAACCCGGCACGGAGCAACGTGGAGCTGCCGAGCGAGAGGGTTTGTGAATCAAGAGAACTTGACCCAGATGAAGGGCGGGCGAAATTCACAAGCCCCGACTCGCGGCTTCCGTTTCGCAGTGAGCCACAGTGAGGGAAACCACAACAGCGCTTCCCTTGGGCTGTCAGTCAAAGATGGTTTGTCGGTTGTAAGGCCTTTGTTACTGGCCTTTCTCCGCTTCCCAAACCTTGCGCTCGAGCCTGGCAAGCCAACACGGTATGCAAAAGGGTATGCAACCAGAACAAACACCATGTGAAAGATAAAGGACACAAAATAACTGGTTTCCTCGACTGCACATCGGCAAGAGTGGTGTTGCCCAAGTTACTGTAGTTGATCACAGGCAGTTCAAGACAGCCATGATTGCTCTGGGCAAGTTACTTCTCGATCTCACTGATTCGCGGGCAAAACGAGCCATTGACATCATTTACCACAAGGAATAAAGGTCCCCTACTGCGAGCTCCCTTATTTCCGGCTTGAGAATTACATGCAGTAATTTGCTCGGCCGTTCAACACGTAAATTGGGCAGCTCATTGGCTGCTGTTGCGTAACAAATCTGCAGTGAAAGAGATGTGTGTTACAGCCGACGCTGTGAGCTTACAGTTGTAGCCATCCTCACAGAGGTCTTTTTTTTCCTCCCCAGCGGAGCCCGGTTTCAAGTTCTAAATGCCTCCATCTGCCAAGCATATGGAGCATGCTGCTTGCATTTCGCCATGTTAGTTCCTTCCAGTTGGTGAGATCTTTGCTAGTCCCTTTTGGCGGGGTCGGCCACCCGGAAAGATGCGAGGTCTCTCGGTGGCAAAATATGTGTGGTGTTGTTAGAGGTGAAAGGCAGGGGAACCACGCATTTCATTTCATGTTGTTTTCCAGGTACAAGAGCCATAAAGACGCCTATGTTGAGCAGTTTCGTCATGTGGAGACCGAAAAAAACACATGCCGCTGGCAAAAACACTCACAGGTCGCTCATGTTCTCCCGAGAAAAGCTTGCTCAGTTCCCGTAGCCAGAAACGAGTGGGGTTGTCTTTTTGTTGGTGGACCCCTTTTTTTGGTTGTTAACAGGAGACCAACTGGAAAACCACCATTTTGGGGGTACCCTTAAAAAAGACACACCCATGTTGATTCAGTAGATTTTGCAGCAAAATCGTGTTGGGAGCCACCTTCTGCCTTGCTCAAAGACACGTGCGTGTAGTGGTGTGCATGTATATCCGCTTGGTCACATCTCTCTATGTATGTGTTTGTTTATGGCGGGCTGTGTTCTCTTGACACGAGGACGAAGGCTCGGGCGACTTGCTTGCAAGTTTACCTGGGAAAAGATCTGTAGATCGACCGTCGATGCAAGCGACGAAGCTACATGCTTTGGGTGAACTTTGGCTCTCTCGCGCGAGACAAAGCCAGTTGATGCTGAAGACATGGTTTGGAGAGCTTCAAGACTGGATTGGAGCCGTTTTCGTTGCTTGGCTTGCTTCGAGCTGGCAGTCCTTGCCTTTAGTCACAGGTTCCTGGGCCCTCCTACCCCGAACAATCCAATTGTTAACCATGGCTCGCGGGTCAGAGGGTCAGAGGGTCCAGGTTTGTTTTTTCAGACTTTGCTCTGGACCTTGGGCTTACATGCCATTGGTCGACTGCAGAGGTGATGCACTAAGAAATAATCGCCTCTGGTGTTCGAGACAAGGACTGCTGTCGTTTGCTTTGGACTTGTGTGTGTGTGTGTGTGGGGTGCTTTTCTTTGACTTCAGAAAGGATTTTCTACAGCCATTGGAGGAGGACGGTAGGCATTGGCTCAAACTGGAAAGAGCAGTTCTAAGGTCCCCGATGTCAGGTTACACACGTACATGCGATGGAGGGGAATTTGACCGGTTTAAAGGGTTTTCCCCGGCTTCTAAGAAATTTGACCACAAATTGACCACAAGTTGGACCGGCTTTGCGAAGGGGAATTTGACCGGTTTCTGGAGGGTTGGGGATGGGAAGTTGGCCGGGTTCTAGAGGCGATTTGAAGGGGATTTGATAACTTCCTAGATGACCGGTTTTAAGGGGACTTGACCGGTTTCTAGAGAAATTTGACCGGAGCTGGATTGGCTTTGAGGGGCGGGATTTACCGGTCTTTGAGGGGGGGCAAGATCCCGAAGAGGGCCTGACCGGCCCTGCGGCCGAGGCGAATTGAAGGGTTTCTCCATGTTCAGCCCAGCCTTTTTGACCTGGCAGAAATGGAAAGGGGCTCCTTTTGGTTGATGTATGGAAGCCAAATAGAAGCGACAGCTCTTGTGGGGTCTAATACTCCTTGACTCCCATTTGACATCGCACATGACGCAATGCGTTTGTGCCGCGGAACCGACTGGAAAAAAGGCCCGCGTCGCACAAGCGCAGTCTCATTGTCGGACCGAAGGGAAGTCGACGGGGCTCGTCCAATGCAAGCACCCGATGAAACCCAGCAAAGCCCCAACCCTTCTGAGGGATGGCATTGGCCCATGGCACACAAAACGGAGAGTCTACTTGCTGAACTAGTTCAACACCATGCATGTGGATTTGTGTTGATTTTAGGGGGCAGCCATGGTGGGCCTTTCAGCTTTGATTTTTCCCGGCTGACTCTTTTAGAAGGGAACCTGCGGTTTTTTAGATTTTTTGAGGCCATATTGGGCAAACATGGCAAAAGGTGTTGGCATAGGCGTCCTTTTTGGGTTAGCTTGGGTAGACACAATAGATGGCACTGGTTTAGATTGGTTCCATATACCCGGGAAACCTAGTATGGGTGTTGGTGAAAGCGACAGCGAAACAACAACTCCGTTTCAGTAGTTCAGGCGGTGAACTCACCATGATTTGCCTAGAGAGTTCTTCGTTTTTGGGTCCCGGCTCTGAGAGTCTGGCTTCCGGTCTGAAAGGGTTGCCGTTTGAATCTGCTTTACTTGAGCCCCAAAAAAGGAACTGGTCTTCTTTGGGTCCTTTTTCAACCAACCAGAGAAAGGGCGCGTCCAAAGAAAAAGGACACCTACTTCAACTGTGATTTGTTTGCAACCTGGCGGGTTGCTACCCCCCAAAAGTCAAGTTGACACAAGGGGACCGCCCCGAAAGTCGAGGACCCCCTTCTGGGCTCGCAAAACTACTGGAGGTGATGCCCTTCAAGCCCACCATCTTCAGGGTGATCTTGAGGATGTCGCTTGCGTGTGCCCAATTTTTATGATTATCGAGCGGCCCTTGACCGCACGTTTGTCTCCAAGGCGGCATTCCTGGAAGCGACAGAGGCTAATCAGGACAGGGCCAGCCCAGTTCATGCGGACGAATGCTCGCAAGAGATCGCTTGGAATGGGCCGTGTTCAGGATTGCAGGAGTGTTAGATGGCACCGCAAGGAGCAGTATGTTCCCTCGACTTGAGCAACGCGCGGACCCGTTAAGCCCAACCCTCTTGGAAGTGCCCAGTACTGTTGCTGCGGCTAGTCGACACAATGCTGCTGGCCTGCTCGTGCGCTCACGCCTTTTGAGTTGGACGCCTTGCCTTGCAGCATCGGCAACTCCGCAACTTCGAAGCCCTGACACTTTAAAGGCTGGTGCTCGTTGGGAGAAAAAGTAGATGAAGTTTCGCTAGGCCACCTGGACCTTCAGACCACCTTCATGTCCGTTTCCTCAAGGTAGTTTGAGTTCTGGGTGCTTTGTATGGTATAAGGGAAGTCGATATTAAGTCGTCACAGGGATGGCCCGCTTTGGTACTGTGGATGGACAAAATCCTGCACCACCTAAGAAAGCCTGGAATAATGATGCCCCTGTAAATGCCAACAAACACTTGGGTCCCACGATTGCCAAGTGGTGCAGGATTTCGTCCATCCACAGTATCACAGAATGTGTCCCAGCTTGGAGCAGCCCAGCCTAGCTGTTGCTTGCTTTCGCTGCATGCTGGGCTGGGTCGAGGCAGGCAACGCGAAGCGTGTACAATTATTAATCGTTTCATTTAGGCACGAGTCACGTCACAACGATGCAACATATGGTCACGACTGTCCATGCGAGGCCCAACCCACCAACCCACCCACCAACCCACCAACCCACCAACCCACCCACCCACCAACCCACCAACCCACCAACCCACCCTAGAAAGCAAGCAAGCAAGCAAGCAACCAACCAACCAACCGGCCAACCAACCAACCAACCAACCAACCAGCCAGCCAACCAACCAGCCACCCAACCAACCAACCAACCAACCAACCAACCAATAGTCCACGTAGATGGCTGGCTAGCCAGCCAACTATCGAAGAAGAACTGGCAGCTAGATACCCATCGATCTAACTAGCAAACTTGCTACCAGGCTAAATAATCAGCCAGCCAGTCTCACTAGCTGCCTAGCTGACTTAGCTAACCACTCAAGTTAGATAATAAGCTGGCTGAAGATCTAACTAGCCAAATGGCTAGCAAGTTGCCTAGCGTGCGAGCTAGCTTGCCTTGGATTAGCCAACCAAGCTTACTGGCCAGCTATCTAGCTACTTGGCAAACTGGCCAGCTGGGTAAAGCTAAGTCGCTGACATACTTCCAAACTTAGGTTTGCGTAGCACACCCCGTCCATTTGCGGTTTAGTCAGCGTGGGACTTTTGCGTGGTGTTCCAAAACACCGTAAAACGATAGGAAAGGAAGTACAAGACAATGTGTGATTTCCAAAACCAATCCCTGATATTTGATTGCTTCATGTCAGGCCAATTCATTGCCTTTGCAGGGTCAGATTTGAGGGTGCCTTGTTTCGGGTCCTAAGAGTTGCTGTATTGCAACCATTTGCCCGAAAGTTCTGGGAGTGATGGCTGCTCCGGTTGCCTGGCGCATGTCGACCTGTGTCAAGCAGGAAGCTTGGATCTCCATCTGCTTCTTGCCCGCATCTAGTAACCGAGAGTGACAGTTTTGTGGGCGATTTGGATGGCTCTTTCGTTCTGTTTGCAGCCTGGCTGGTGCAGCCCACTGCATTGCGTCGGAGTTGGTAGCCCATCAAGGAAGTGGCCCAAGATGCTCTTTGTCCGAACTGCTTTCTTCGCAAAACGCGCTGTA